GACTAGAATTATTACTTGTTTGAACACTTCGACTAGAATTATTACTTGTTTGAACACTTCGACTTTGATCTGCGAACTATGCTCCAAACCTCCTTAGAGAAGAGCTGAAGTGGAAAAGAACTTGCCCATTCGATCTGACCCAGTAGTAACCTCGATTGTCTCCTATTTGACCATACTCCCTGTTTCCACCCGTCATACTTTCCATTTATTTCCCTCTTCTATCATCCGATCCTGGTTGTGGTGTCTGTATGGGAAGTGTACCTTATGTTCAACAAATTGTGTTCTGTTCTGTGTGTTAATCTGTTCTGCTATCTTTACACATTTTCATATGTTTTTAATAAATTAAGTTTTTTAACATAGAACATTTGACAAATAAATAATAACTTTCGGTATAACAGTTAAATAAATAGCTTAATATAATAAATAACTAAATAGCATATTGTTAGCAACAGTCGGCCTTGCTCGTTCATACTTAATAGCAGTATGGATTGCCGATACCTACACTCACTCTCATTGCTCAGTGCTATAGGGTAAACTACCCAAACGGTAACAACCTGGACCATTCCGTTGCCCACGCTGTCCGCACTGTGCAAGTGATCCATCGCTTCACGTCCTGCAACGGCACCTTGTGCGAGTACCGAGGACCGGATGGGCCTGACCCCGCTAGGTTGTCCACCCCGGGAACCCAAAGTGTCCGGGAATCCATGCGTAGTTAGTGTTTGGTGGCGCAACTTTTCGAATGTTCTGGATCCATGGGTGGACTGGGACCTCCGACGAAAGGACCTGAATAACACTGTGGGAATCCAACAGGATAAGGATAGGACGATCCTCAGCAACCGTGACCATGCTTGGCATACACAGTTTTGGTCACGAACTGCTCATTTGCTAATTACTTTACACATAGTTGACGGAACAAAGTTCTTTTTGAAGCAGTAGATAGAATAGAGTTTAAGCTTGTTATAAATACATAAAACAAAGTAGATTTTAATTCTAGTAATAAACTGTATTTGTTTTTGCGTTGTAAAAATGAAATGAGAAGTGCTCACTGCACATCTCGGAATTTAAGAGTAAAAAATCATTGGTGTTGATTCATATGTTAAGATTTATCTACTTTTTGCATAGCTATAGTAAGCTATGATCCTAATGTATCAATTACTTTAAAGAAAAACAAATGTCAACAACTAAGTGAAAAGTTATTAATACATGAGCAGTTGGTGTGTACAACTGTGTATGCCAAGCATGCTCGCTTGAAGAATAGCTGCTGCTTCTGCCAAGAACACCGAACATTGTTTTGGCAGACTTCTGCTCGTTGGGGAAATGTCACCAGCGATTCCCATTCCGACTCCAGCTCTTGATCTTGATCCATCCGTGTAGCGATGCATGTAATTGGGGTACGATCCGGTCAGCTCTGCTACCGATCTCCTTAGGGCTACGGAATTGTCCCCGGATCTGAACTTCGCCTTTATCGGGCTGTCGATGTTTGGTACGGGAGATTGCCAACTCTTATCTCCGTACCAGTAAATCTTGGAACAAATAAAGTGTTAAAATAATTTTAAAAAAATCTACTACCGATTCCTTGTCCTGACTCCTTCAAACTAGGGGTACAGGATTGTTCAGTAATCAAAGGAACACATCATAGTTTTTGTTACTTTTTATGCCCTGTTGATAGTGACAAGACTCGGCTTTGTCCACCGAGGATAATCTTGAAACAAGGAAAAATTATTATTTAGTTCCAACCTGGATCGGGTATCAAGATTGGGTATGTTTGTTTTATAACAAACGTCAGTTTGATCGTTTTAAAAACAACCTACCTCAGGTTTATTTGTTTATTTGTTATGGTTGCATCAACAGACTAAAAATAGTCCCAATGATGTGTTGTAAAAAAAGTACAGATTAATTACACAGACGACATACATATACTACAGTTACTACAGTTACAAACGAAAATAACTAGGAAAGCATTGTCAAGTTACTTAAAATTTATTAGTCTTAAATTTTACACTTAGCTGTTGGGCATCAAGCGCCTTCGGTCAGCAAAAAAGGCAGAGAATCTTCGGCGAAGCATATTTCGTGTCAAGTGGAAATCGAACATCGACGCTACTCGGTTGAACACTAGCTGCAAGCCGTAAATAGCGCTTCCTATGCTATCATTATTTCGAAGAAGTGGAAGTCTCAGCATAAGACTGAACATTAATGTTCACTTGTTGCAGAATTGCTTCGCAGTCGATTATTCCTTGCAGAGTATCGGCGACGGTTAAGGCTCTGAAAACATCTCTTCGGATACGTAAGGGCTCGATATTGATCAATTGGCAGCGATTCTCGTAGCTTGGAAGACGAAGTGGGTATCTCCAAGGCAGCTTACGGAGCGCGAAGCGCAGAAAACGTCGTTGAACAGATTCAATTCGCTCGGCCCCATTATTGTAGTTCGGGCTCCAGACAGCAGAGCAGTATTCCAACGTAGATCGTACGAGAGAGCAATCGAGCGATTTCAAGCAGTAAATGTCCGTGAGGTTCTTAGTAATCTTGAAGACTAAGCCAAGCGTTCTGGACGCTTTGTCGACGACATACGATATATGGTGTGAGTATGTCAGCTTTGAGTCTAGAAAAACGCCTAAGTCTTTCACGCAGTGCACCCGTTCGATAGTCGTGCCTAGTAGTTTGTAGTTGAAAATAATCGGTTGTTTCTTGCGTGAGAAAGTAGTAACTGTACACTTAGCTAGGTTGACCACCAGTCGGTTTAGACTACACTAGTCAGCAAAGATGTCAATCTGATTTTGGAGATAACGGCAATCGGCGAGTGAGCGGATGCGCAGAAAAACTTTCAGACCGTCTGCAAACGATAATCGTTGCTCTGTGATAACATGGTGAACGTCGTCGAAGTAGATGAGTAGAGGAGGAATACCAAATACCTGGACTTTGCGTAGAAGCTTGCTGAGCGACAAGTACCCAAAGTTACTGTCAATTGGCGCTCCGTGAGGTATGAACGAAACCATCTCAAAAGATTTCCACCGATCCCTAGCCTATCATGCTTAGCGATCGCAATTTCGTGGTTCAGCTTATCGAAGGCTGCCGTAAGATCTGTGTAGATAACGTCCGTTTGGGTCCGAGCAATCAAACTGTCTGTGATGTAAGACGTTAGGCACAGCAGGTTCGTAGTTGTGGAACGCCCAGTTATGAATCCGTGTTGATCTGTACTTAGATATTGCTTGCAATGCGCAACCAATTCAAAAAGTTTTGATACAGCACTCAGTGACGTGATTCCCCGGTAGTTGTTTACGTCGCGTGTGCTTCCCTTTTTATGAACAGGAAACATATCCGCAGTCTTCCAGCAAGACGGAAAAATGCCGCTGGAAAGAGAGAGCTGGAATATGCGGCGCAGTGGATCTAAAAGACAAGTGATGTTTTTTTTTTAAGAATAATCGATGGAACACCATCGGGTCCAGCCTTAGTTGAAGTCTTAAGTTTGGATGCTGCTCTAAAAATCGTATCTGTAGTGGCTTCGACCATGCTGAGCGTTTGGTTGATCAAAGGAACATTACTGGCCGCGGAAGTAATGATATTAGCGGAGAGTTGCTCGGCTTCAAACACACTAGCAAATTAGGCTGAGAACAGGTTGCAAATGTCTTGTTGATTTCCAGCAGTTTCACCATTAAAAATCATGGAAGAGGATAATTCGACTTCCCTGCGTTGCTCATTTACGAAGTTCCAGAAGGATTTCGGGTGTGATTTTAGCCGCCGTTGAATCCTCCTTTGATAGCGTTGAAAACAGAGACGACTTAACCGCTTATACTCGTGGTTGAGTCTGACATAGTAGCATTTCAGCGGCAGTGTGCGGAGTTTAGTAAATCTTCTGAGCGCAGCCTTCTTAGTTCTTTTCAACGAGCGTAGATCTTTCGTCATCCACGGGACGCGAGAGTCGATATGGATGATCTTTTTGGAAACGTGTCTGTCAATGACATATGCCAAGACGTGAGAAAATGTTTGTGCAGCAATGTTGACGTCTACAGGATCTAAAATATGCTCTCAATCTAGGTTGGACAGCAAATGGACGATACTGCGATGGTCAGCTCTACGGAAGTCATATGACACAGCGTTTGGAGTGCTGGTGAAATCATGGACAATATTATTTTCGATCACGATAACTAAAGCAGGGTGATGATGCACTACCTTGACTAAAGGTTCGGGTGCCGTGGAGAGGAAAGGAGCTGTATCACGAGCACTCACAAAGCAGAGATCCAGAGTGCGGTTGTTTTCATTCAACAGGCCATTGATTTGTGACAGAATTGCGGTACTATAACTGTCCAGGAGCTGGATGGCTGTTTGGTTTTCCCATGGTAATTTCCATATAAACTTCAAATGGTTTGTGCCAAGTCAGTTTCTCACTAAATGAGTTCAAGTTTTGGGAGTCTAATCAGGGCCCAATTTGGAACCGTTTGAGCACTGTGGAGCGAAAATTTCAAATTTTGCATCAGTCTATTGCCTATGCAAGCATGGTGCAAGACCCCCTTTCCACCACCAACTACAGGGTCGAGACGACTATGTTGAACGAAGGCGGCGGTAGGCGGGACTGTGTTGGGGCGATCGGGGGCTTCCATCAGACTTTCTACGGTGCGTCTCGGAGGATTCGTCAGATGAGGGGATTAAGGGGTGACTGTTATACTGGGTGTACCTAAAGGGGCCCGTTGGAGAGCCACCCGGAATAGTCTCTGGAACAGCAGGGAGTGCTGGGATATCAGGAGGTAGCGACACATTGTTTTTCGCCTGAGTATCCTCGAATTCTTTGTATACAATCCCCTGTGGCCAAGTTTCAGGGTTCAAAGCGTTCTCTTTTAGTTTCATTGGAAGCCCGACTTGTAGGAGATGAAGTTCATCGATAGTGGGTCGGTGCCTTTTTTCACTAAAGAGACGACTTTAACTGGTTCACTCGTTCGCAGTCCATCACGAACAAGTTTCTCAACCACATCTCTCTTAACACTGGGGTGAAACCGGGGAAGGTAAACCCAAAACAGGCTTGATGGAGCATTAACAGCGAGCGTATCGCTAGTTCCAATGACTCTTGTTCCAGTTGTCGGTTTAGTCGGTGTTTCCGTATCACCTCGACGGCGTTTTGAGGGGCGATCATGATTCGGTCTAGCAGATGTACCTGGGGTAGCAGCATTAACTATGTGAGTGAGTTGAGCGACCTGATTGTTGTTTTTGGCCATTTCGGTTTTCAGCTCGGATAAACCGGTCAGCTGACTGCCTATCACCGTCGAAATTACGTTACCGAGGGATGAAACAGTGTTTCTGAATCGGGTGTACTTCATGAACTTGCTACATTCATCACACTTCCAGAACAAATTGATTTTCTCGCGAAGAATCCTGACGAACGGCAAGTTCAAGTTAATGCATAATACACTTGGTCGCAGAACCCCATACATTCGATGTGGTCTTCGTCCGGTTTCACTGTTTTGGCACAGCGGTCGCACGCACTTGTACTGGTCATTTCGTTGAACGGAATTAATGCCCTAAAGGGTGATACGGTCAAAATTTGGTCAATATCAACTTGACGTATTTCTTTCAATTTTGCATTTAAAAAACCTGAACACCCCTCATTTTGAAGGTGTGTGTGTGTGTGTGTAGAATGTTGCTCCTATTTTGATTTTGGAATTCACTCTTCAGTTGTCAAAATGCCGTCCAAGCAAGAAGAGCAGCGTATCAAAATTTTGCTCGCGCATCGCGAAAATCCGAGCTACTCGCACGCAAAGTTGGCAAAATCGCTAAAAATTGCGAAATCAACCGTTACAAATGTAATTAAAGTGTTTGGGGAACGTTTGTCGACAGCCAGGAAGTCTGGATCGAGGGGAAATCGAAAACCGGAAGCCGCTGAGACGACAAAGAGAGTTGCCGGTAGTTTCAAGCGAAACCCTAACCTCTCTCTCCGAGATGCCGCAAATAAGCTGGGTGTATCGTCTACAACCGTGCATCGAGCCAAAAAACGAGCCGGACTATCGACTTACAAGAAGGTAGTGACTCCAAATCGCGATGATAAACAAAATACGACGGCCAAAGCGCGATCCCGGAGGCTGTACACGACGATGCTGACGAAGTTTGACTGCGTGGTAATGGACGACGAAACCTACGTCAAAGCCGACTACAAGCAGCTTCCGGGACAGGAGTTTTATACGGCAAAAGGAAGGGGAAAGGTAGCAGATGTTTTCAAGCACATGAAACTGTCAAAGTTCGCAAAGAAATATCTGGTTTGGCAAGCCATCTGTACCTGTGGCTTGAAAAGCAGCATTTTCATAGCTTCCGGGACTGTCAACCAAGAAATTTACGTGAAAGAGTGTTTGAATAAACGTCTGCTGCCTTTCCTGAAGAAACACGGTTGTTCCGTACTGTTTTGGCCGGATTTGGCATCTTGCCATTACGGTAAAAAGGCCATGGAGTGGTACGCCGCCAACAACGTGCAGGTGGTTCCCAAGGACAAGAACCCTCCCAACACGCCAGAGCTCCGCCCAATTGAGAAATACTGGGCTATTGTCAAGCGGAACCTAAAGAAGACCAAAAAAACTGCTAAGGGCGAGCAGCAGTTCAAGGCAAACTGGCTTTCTGCGGCGAAGAAGGTGGACAAGGTGGCTGTACAGAATCTGATGGCAGGGGTCAAGCGTAAGGCCCGGCAATTCGGATTTGGAAAAGCGGAAGCCTAACTGAATATTTTTCCTGAATTTTATACTAATTGAACTTGAAAAAGAAATTTAATTTGATTTTTTAAATAAACGATTTCACCGATTTACACGCGTTTTCCCTTGACCAAATTTTGACCGTATCACCCTTTATACGTGTAAAATGCCCAATAAGCATATTACTAGGTGGCGCGTCGAATGTTAGACGAACGATCGAAAGGTGGTTTTTGCAACACCACTAGCACAACAAACAGAAAATTCTATGGATGACTGGCAATTTCACAACACCAAATATACGGTAAAACTAAATAAAGTCAACACGAATCAACTGATTTCCACTTTCCACGTAAATTCACAAAACTAGAGTTTACAGAGGTACACGAATAACTTCAGTGAAGTGTATTTGAATGGACTAAAACAATCAGAAACCGGCTGCGAATGAGCAGTGTTACTATAAAAAAAAACTGACATAAATGACAGGTTGAAAGGTTGGAAAGGTTGAGGTTCACACTGACAAAAAGTTCGATTTCGCACTGGGTTGGAACTGGTTCCAACCAAGGTAATAAACGAATTCGCTATTAGTCTTCATCTATGTGATGTCTTATCTTCTATTCGTTGTTACCTAGTTTGAAGTGGTTAAGACTAGGCTTCTGATGCATGATCATCATCGGTGTCATTCCTTAATTTTGTTGCTAAGAAATCCAATTTTGACTGACAAAGGGGTGCACCTTTGGAGGGTATAAATAGCGGGGCTTTTCAATTAGAATCGATTCCTTGCGATGAAGGCAAGAATTACAACTGTATCAAAACCGAATACTTCATCATTTCTCAATAGCGACATGCGCTAAACCGAAGACAACAAATCAACTTTGCCAGAATCAAAGCGACAGATACAGTAGCGCTGCACTTGAGTGAAGGTGGAAGCAACGCATAGAAAAATGAGCAAATACACAAACCCTTCTTCTGAGGATGTAATCTTTGCTATCAAAGTTGGTTGGAAATGCTAACATGAAGCTTTAGTGTGATAATTTATTAGCTAGAGAATGATCTTTAGAAGAGGGTAGGTGGATAGTTCCGTTAGAGTACGGCAGTATGAAAATTGAATAGAAGTTGAAAATGAGCGAAGGGCCATTAATGCGACAGTTTTTGAAAGCTAGACGCACATCTTTTGCCTAACCCGTACGATGTAAGCGGAGACTTGAAGTATGTCTCCATTGACAGTCGTAAATATATCATTGATAAATATATTCACATGCTTCAAATTGATTTCCTTGCTAAAATGTGATTGCAATAAAGTAGGGAACGAAAAACTATGTTGGTGCAATATCACCCTCACTAACGGTACCTAATAACAAAAAAAAAAAACTGTTTAGTACTTTATTTGACATTGACGTCATTAACCATGAAAAATTCAAAAAAACATAAAATCAATAATGAATTTTCAAAAGGACGTATATGTTTTGGTAAACAAAGATTCAAACGTCAATTCCAGAATAACAACGTAGACTACCCGGTACTGCTTAGCAACATTCATCTCAACGTTCCAACCAGAACAAACTCGACATGCTAATTTTCTCCGCTTTCATGTGCACCGCCCTCTCTTTGTACAGAACAATCTGTTTGGTATTTGTTGTCGTCGTTTTAATTAAGTGTTTGTCGATTTCGATTTTAAAATTTCCAATACAATGTTTAGAAATAGGACTATTTAACAGTATTGTCTGCCTGAACGATATAATTCGAAGACAAGTAAATAAATAAATAAATTTGTCAAAACATTTAGCCTGTCCCACGCAAACTAATACTACCATCTGGTATGGTAAATTTTCATCAATCTATGTACTACTCATATTTCTGCCAAAAAAAAACATAACACAGAGCTCCAAACACGATCAATTGAATCCAACGAAGAGTGTTGAAAGCGAAAGCGGAAGCATTTAAAACATAGCTCGTCATTGTCAAGTTCACAGTATTCGCCCTTGTACATTTATTTTCCAGCTCAAACTCCTAATAATCATTGGTAAATAACTATCAACTTATTAGCTCAATTGAACCGCCATACCCTTTGAAATATTTCCCAATTTCATTACCCTCAACTACAATAACACGATTTACAATTTCGTTAGGAGAAACCATTCATCACCTCACAAGCTCAAAGAAGCAAAATAGTAAAGGTAAGCGTTCATTGAGGAAAGCACAAACCGTTTGCCAGCAGAGTAATTTCTATATTTTGCGCGTACACTGTGAATTGGCTCTAATGAACGGCCTTAGCCTCTTCTGTGTTGTTTGCCTCGTGTCGAGGGTTTGTGCAAGCGCCGTAAGCAAGCCAAGTGAACCAATCGTCACTTCATCCAAATAACTGGAAACTGTTGAGCAAACGAAACCGCACGTGGGAACCTCATATGCCGCATGCATGTCGATGGATTCATTTCTCTCCTCCTCGCAACATGACTCTTGTTGATGTTCACACACCGAAGGGGAAATGGCATGGCTGGAGAAATGTAGCATCCCCTGCAATACAACATGAAATGCAGGGGAAATTATTCGTAAGGGGAAGCCGCGTGCAACATACGCTCAAATAGAGTATCATCATGCTGTGGCGGGAAATTTGTATGTTGAATGAACAGCAAAAAATGGTAAATGTCCATCCATTAGCGTTCATTCGTGGGTAAAAAAAAACTATACATTCGCAAGGAGTCACTTTTAATGCATCGTCAATCATTTGCCATTATGTTTACAGTCCATAATTTACTCGACTGGTGGACGTGAACTGTGGGGGTCACATTTCAAACACTTGAGTGTGGTTTTTTTGAATTCATTTTTATATAGGTAATTATATATGGCGAAACCAGAAAATTTCAGCTACATTGCATTATACTGAAAATAAAGTATGATTTATACAACGAAATCGTTCGTTTGTTCTACGAATTTATTCGTTGTTTTCTGCAACGAAATAGATTCGTACCTTTTATGGTCTGTTTTCGTACTTGTTTTTTTTTTGCTTTTACTGTAGGTCTCTGCAAGTTTCTGCAAGTTGCTGTAAGAAAATAACATGGTACAGCAAGTACGAGAACATGCTTTTGCTTCTTCTGTACAGAAAAGAAAGTACGGGAACAGACCTATTACCACACTCGCTACTTATGTTAATAATTGGGAACGAATGGTTCATAAAATAAATACGAGCTATTCGTGAAAATTGTAAACAGTACTATATCTTGGAGAGGTGCTTAACTTGGACGTATATTTTAGAAATGTGATATGAATTATTAGGCAGTTGAAGATATTCAGAGTGGTACCTGATCAAACTTAAGTCTAAAAAATATCCAGAGGATATTTTGGAGATCTATAACCACTTGGAGGTCTTGGGAAAAATTTCTGAGCAACCTGGTATCTTGAAAAACGCATGGGAGATATGATCTGAATAGAGGGGCAGTGGAAATTTGGAGATCTTTGATCATCATATCTAAGCAACCTACTATTTGAGAGAATATCTGGGAGATGTGATTTGAATTGTTGGATAGTTGAAAATTTCCAAAATGATATCTGATCACGTTGGAGTATTTAACAGATATCTAGAAGATAAATTTGGAGATCAATGATTACCTGAAGGCATTTAAAATAATTTCTTTGCAACCTGGTATCTTGAGAGGATGCCTGGGAGATATGATTTGAATTTGTTTTATTTTTTTCCTTTGGTTTGTTTTTTCCGTCGATCTTGTTTTCCGTGCTGAGCAACAATGCTACCGACGTGCCAGGAAGGCAGCTCCCACACCTGGACCCTACCTATCGACCCATCAACTCATGAACCGGGGACCAACGGCTT